TATGTATATACAGTATTTTCTTTTTTGCTTCTATTGGTTGCTCTTTTCATCAGGAGCCACCACAGCGAACTAACTTGCACGAAGATTTGGCAATAGTTTTTATTCCGGATGCCCTTCCTGACACAACCATAGACCACCGAGCTACCACAGCCCTCTGTGTGGAGCAGAGAGCTGCTATCTAGGGAGCCCGGGGGAGCAGATGGTGGGGGGCCTTGTGCAAGGGCCCAGAGTGGGGCAAATTAGGGTGGAGGCAGGTGTGGTTGTTTCACCTTTCCCATCAACATTTTGATGTTGTCGGTTCAGGGAGTTGAACCGGCAACCTTCCGATCACAGGCCCACCTTCTCTAGGCTCTGCGTCACCACTCCCATATATATACACTACATACACAGCCTGGTCCAAAAAAAAAAATATTGTCACCTGAATTTAACTAAGCAAATATGTACGAGTCTCCTATTGGATAATTACTGCATGGGCGATTAAGTAAAAAAAAAAAAAAAAAAAAAAAAAATCAAAAATACTTTATTAATCCCAGAGGGAAATTATTTGTTGTTGTAACTTGTTAGCTTCATTTCATTCAGAGATGTTATAGATGCTGATGGCTGAAGGCAGGAAGGATCTCTTGTAAAAGTCCATCCCACAGTGGATCCTAAGAAACTGGCTGCATATGCTGTCCAATCCGTCCACCCAGACTCGGCTGACCTCTCGGTTCCCCTCGGGCTGTAGGACCACCTGAATGCTGACAGCCATGAATTGCAGACAGCCAACTGTAGGTGCCGAGGGACGAGCCTGTCCTTTCAGCTGGCAGCAAGTTATTTAACCCCAACTGGTGCAATGAGTGTCTTCTCATTTCTTAAACAAAAACCTGTTATGTTACTGAATTTTAAAAACTCTGAAAAACAATGTTCCTGTTGAAGAATGACTAGGTAAATGTTCATCATGATGGGCTGACAGCCATGACAGCCATGAAGAACCTTAAAACATCAATAAAATATTAAAATTGATGCTGTCATAAAATTAGAATATCATGAAAAAGTTCATTTATCTCAGTAATTCCATTCACAAAGTGAAACTTGTATATTATATTCATTCATTATACACAGACTGATATATTTAAAATGTTTATTTATTTTATTGTTGATGATTATAACTGACAACTAATGAAGACCCCAAATTCAGTATCTCAGAAAATTTAAATATTAGTTAAGACCAATTAAAAAAAAGGATTTTTAGAAATGTTGGCCAACTGAAAAGTATGAATATGAAAAGTATAAGTATATACAACACTCAATACTTAGTTGGGGCTCCTTTGCCTGAATTATTGCAGCAATATGGCGTGGCATGGAGTTAATCAGTCTGTGTCACTGCTCAGGTGTTATGAGAGCCCAGGTTGCTCTGATAGTGACCTTCAGCTCTTCTGAATTGTTGGATTTGGCATCTCGCATCTTTCTCTTCATAATACCTGATGTATTTTCTGTGGGGTTAAGGTCAGGCAAGTTTGCTGGCCATCTAAGAACAGGAATACGATGGTCCTTAAACAAGGTACTGGTAGCTTTGGGACTGTGTGCAGGTGCCAAGTCCTGCTGGAAAATTAAATCTGCATCTCCATAAAGTTGGTCAGCAGCAGGAAGTGCTCTAAAACTTCCTGGTAGATGGCTACATTGACCTTGGACTTCAGAAAACACAGTGGACCAACACCAGCAGATGACATGGCACCCCAAACCATCACTGACTGTGGAAACTTGACACTGGACCTCAAGCAACATGGATTCTGTGCCTCTCCTCTCTTCCTCCAGACTCTGGAACCTTGATTTCCAAAGAAAATGCAAAATTTACTTTCATCAGAGAACATAACTTTGGACCACTCAGCAGCAGTCCCAGGAGAGACGCTTCTGACACGGTCTCTTTTTCAGGAGTGGCTCGACTCAAGGAATGTGACAGCTGAAACCCATGTCTTGCATACGTCTGTGCGTGGTGGTTCATGAAGCACAAATCCAGCTGCATTCCACCCTTGGTGAATCTCCCCCACATTTTGGAATGGGTTTTGTTTTACAATCCTCTCCAGGGTGCAGTTATACCTATTGCTTGTACACTTTTTTTCCCTACCATATTGTTTTCTTCACTTCGCCTCTCTATTAATGTGCTTGGACACAGAGTTCTGTGAACAGCCAGCCTCTTTAGCAATGACCTTTTGTGTCTTGCTCTCCTTGTGCAAGGTGTCAACGGTCATCTTTTGGACAACTGTCAAGTCAGCAGTCTTCCCCATGATTGTGTAGCCTACAGATCTAGAACGAGAGACCATTTAAGGCCTTTGCAAGTGTTTTGAGTTAATTAACTGATTAGAGTGTGGCACCAGGTGTCTTCAGTATTGAACCTTTTCACAATATTCTAATTTTCTGAGATACTGGATTTGGGGTTTTCATTAGTTGTCAGCTATAATCATCAACATTAAAATAAATAAACATTTTAAATATATCAGTCTGTGTTTAATGACTGAATATAATAAACAAGGTTCACTTTTTGAATGGAATTACTGAAATAAATCAACTTTTTCATTATATTCTAATTTTATGACCTAAAATTAAAATCCCTTTTTTGTTGTTGTTGCATATAGCAGAGAAAACAAGTCTTCTTTATAATAAATATCTAAAATTGCTGTAACAACCACTTCACTAGTTGCACAATCTATTTTTATTTTGGAAAAAAAGAGGAAAAAATTACAACAAAGTTTCAAGTCGTACTAAGTAAAGTTTAAGAACGGTTTTTACTGTTTATAATCATAAATATCAAGTTTAAAGTGTCCACGTGCAATGAAAACTTGATTTTGTTCCAACTGATCACAACTTTTAATATTTCAATACTTCTTCCTGAGTGTGCTTGTCACTGACAGAAGTCAAATAAACTTTTGTCTTGAGGGAAGATTCAATCAGAGTCCAAGGTGCCATAGGGTGGCAGCAGTCAGCTGCGAGTCAGGTCAGCTTTGAGTCCGCTACCAGAGTTTATTCTGGAGCTTTCTGCTCCAACTAGTCTGCTGTGAAAAAAAAACATTAATTATAAACAGTATATGTATGTTAACCTGTGACACTAAAAGTATGCATCTTTTCAATAAGTAAAAAGTTCATGTTTGGTAGTAATTAGAATTCCAAACATGCTATTTTCTTACAAAGATCCTTTGTGTTTGTGTCTACTTGAAATGTTAATGTGAATGTTAGTAGTCTGTGTATGCTCAGACCTCTGTTAAAACTTTTAGGCACAATTTCACACATTAAATGCACAATTTTCTTAACTACAAATGAAAACAGAAGATAACTGAATTTGTGTGTTTATCTTCATAATAAAAACTGCTTTGAACAGATTATAGTTTATTCATAATTACTTGGAAAAAGGGTCAAACTACTTAAGAAAGCTATAAACTATTTTTGCTGCAGATGAGTGAAATTTTCATTGGAAGTCATTTTTCCACTGAGAGAGATCAACACATAAATCAATGTTTTTTTTTTTTTTCAAATGTTTAAGTGTAATGAACATTTTTCTCTGGCACTCATATGTTCTTTATTATCTTGTTTTGTCTTTTGTTCTCATTTTGTCCTTAGCTTACTTCTTTAAACATTTTCTGTGAACATTGCAGCATTGGGTTCTTATGTAAGACCGGAACTGTTCAACAGAGAGCTCATTAGTGACAGCCAATCTTCTGTGTTCCTGTTTATGTTGTGTGCATGCATCTGCAGATTAAACACCCACTAATTATTGGCATTTGTCAGTGCTGTCTGTTGCGTGTACTGAACCATGAGTTTATAGAGAGTTGTGTTAATGTAGAGCCAGCCTGCTGGGACTGTCACACAGAGACTCACCACGAGAGGGTGGGACTTAGACAGCAGGACAATGCTGGTGTTTGTGCAACGGCTGGCTTTCTCAACTTGCTCTCGCTTGACTACCACTGCTGCAAGCATTGTTTGGGAGGAAAGTAAAGTGGACAGCTTGATCCTGTGTGTGGGATGCATCACCATAGGTAAGATTCCCTTTCTCCATCATCGCTGATCTGTGATGCTTTGTCTTTTATTTGTCTCATGAGGCTTGTGCTGGATAAACTGTATGGTCAGGGTGTTCTAGCCCAGTTTTGGGAAAAGCCGGAGGTTGGCTTGGTTTGAGGCACCCTCGTCTGTGCTTTGGCAGGATCACTACTGTGTGTGTGAATGGACCTAAAAGAAAGTTTCACAGAAAGAGGCTCAGCGAAAGGCTTATGTAGAGTGTGACTAGGCTTGAATAGAAGGTGAAAAGAATAATAAAATAAAGGAAACAGAAATGTATTATCTGCTGAGGTGAAGGGAGATTACTTGAAATGATGCTTGTCCAAATCAAGACAAGAAAATATTATTTAAGTCGCTCCCTGGTAATGACAGAGTGAAAGTTTGCAGAGGTAAAAAATACAGACAGAGTAGAGAAGGAGAGATTAAGAGGAAGAGATTAATTAGAGCTGAAAGAAGAGGAAATCAGGAGATTTAATAGTTCCAAAAGAGGACAGAAATGACATGATAGTTTTAAAAAAACGCAACCCAAGATAACATTTCAACTTTATAACACACACTACTCAAGCTTAAATACAAACTTCAAGATTAACAAAGGCACAAATCTTGTCAGATCTTTTTCCAACTTTGCTTTAAACGCTCTATTCAATCCTGTAAAGAAAAAAAAAAAAACGGAATTCCTAAAGCAGTGACACACCTACCATTCTTAGCCCCGGCCTCTGTTCGTTCAAATCCCTTTTAGCTGAAATCAGAGACTTCAGATGTTTGTTTTCTTTGTCTAATGTCTGAATATGTAAAAATAAGTCATTCTCATCCACCCACATTAAAATAAGCTGTGGATTTCATTTGTGGTTTGAGCAGGCAGGTGAAGGTTGGGCTGTGAGAGAGTGAAGACGGGGAGGAGGAAAGGGAAGAGAGAAGTGGGCCAGAGCGAGCAGCCCCTAAACAGCCAGGATGGGAGAAAAGAAAGTGAGGTAAGTAGTTGTATCTTGTTTGTTTAGCTCAGTCAAGATACTTCAAATGAATGATATCTGCTGCTTTAATGCTGGTACTTTGATTTATTTTATGCACCATATGTGCATTATATTTGTGCCTCTGGTTTTATTATTATACACATTAAATTTGTGCCTCCGCTCTTGGTGATTTGATGCAAATGTGTGTATGCATTTGTGTGTGTTGTTGATCCCTTCACAGTCTCCCTGCTAAGCTGATTAATGGGGGCGTGGCAGGACTGGTTGGTGTGACATGTGTGTTTCCTATTGACCTGGCAAAGACTCGCCTTCAGAACCAACAGGGCATCCAAGTCTATAAAGGAATGTGAGTGAGGTTTCCCCAGCCTCGTTTATTCTGACTTTGTAATTGACTTGTTACATAAAATGTTAAACTTTATGATTTTATTTTATTTTTTACTTTGCCATGACCGAATGCGATCATTATATGTTTTAGAACTTCAACTAATATTGGACTTAGATGGACTTTCACATCTTTGGCACAACAAACTAACGTTCATTTTATCTCAAAAACAAGCTAAAATGTGAACTCATCTGACCACAAAACACACCTTAGGCTATGTCCTTCTGTAATGTAAATTCCTGCCACACTGTGTGAAATAATGCTGTTTTTCCAAGATTCAAAAAAAGGTTGAAAAACAAAAACAACCAGACGTTCAACTTTTTGTTGAAAAGGAACAACATTCACAACATAAGAAAACCAAGGAACGGCAAAAAGGTAATTTTCAAAAATTACAACAGAAAGCGTCTTCTTCACAACAAATAACCAGTCATCAACAAGAGGAGGCCACCAATGCAAAGACTCAGGATCCATGGATTAAAAACATGTCCAACAGGACGCTGATGCAGCCAGAGATGGACGTACTAGCTAAAGACCTGAATTTAACCATTTCTCTACAGGAAATACCCATTGTGGAACTTCTCACTGACACTGAATCTACCATCAGGAACAAAAACCTGACTGAAACCGATGCTGAACAACTCAGGATGAACATAACAGCAACCCTCTCCAGTGTCAAACCACCTCCTTCAAATATCACACTGCAAGAAAGAAAAGCTACAGCATCACCTAGCAGGACCAAAGCATCACCATTTTACCAGCTGACAAAGCAAGATGCACAGTGGTCCTCAACACTTCTGATTGCCAGGACAAAATATCCACACTACTGAGTGACACCACTACACTACTTGTGGCTGTGGTGTAGAGGTATAGGGCAGCCGACTTGGGACCAGAATGTCACAGGTTCAACTCCCCGCCATACCCACATGCCATCTTGAACAAGATACCTAATCCCTAACTGGTCCCTGGGTACTTACATAGCTGTCCGCTGCTCCACATGGGTGTATCTCATGTGTGATGGGTTAAATACAGAGCACAAATTTCATCATTGTATAGAAATATACAATGAAGACAACACTTTCTTTCTTCTTCTACACATGAGACCTTGAAAAGGGACCCAACCAGCACATACAAAAAGATCACAGACGACCTCCAACAACTTGAAAAGGACAAGGTGATCAGTCGAGCATTTTACCACATATTATATCCAGAGGAAGTCATTCCATGCTTATATGGACTTTCCAAAGTCCACAAAAAAGGAACACCACTCAGACCCATCAGCAGCAGCATAAACTCGGTGACATTTAATATTGCAAAATATCTTGATGGTATTTTGGCTCCTCTTGTGGGAAACACATCACATCATTGAGAACTCCATGGACTTGGTTAATTTGAAGATGGCATCAGGAGAAACTCTTATCTTTTGATGTCATTTCACTTTTCACCCGTATACTCACATTAGAAGCAGTAGAAACCACCAGGAAACATCTTCAACAAGATAATGACCAGGACCAATTTCACCTCGGACCATATCTGTAGCCTGCTGGACCTTTATCTTTCCAGAACTTATTTCAAGTTCAATGGCAGCTTTTGCAGACAGAAGCATGGTTGTGCCATGGGAGCTCCAGTGTCACTGATTGTGGTCAATCTTTACATGGAGAAAATGGAACAAAGAGCCCTGAACTCCTTCAAAGGAACAGCACCAAGCCACTGGGGCAGATATATGGACGACATTCGAGTCAAAATCCATGCAGCAGAAGTAGAAGCGTTCAGCAAACACATCAAATCTGTGTTTACCAGTTTACTAGAGAAGTTGTCTACAATAACAAGCTGCCTTTTCTGGACTGTTTGGTGAAGATAGAAAGAAATGGAAGCCTCAAACTGAAGTTAACGTACTCGCACAGATCAGTACCTTCTGTTTGACTCTCACCATCCACGGAAACTGGAGCTTTCTGTCATTACAACCGTACACCACCCCTGTTGTGTTGAACATGGAACATGTCCCCACAAAGACAGAAGGGATTAAAAAAGAACAGAAGCATATCAAAGTAGCTCTCCAAACCTGAAAATATCCTAACTGGGCCTTTGTCAAATCTGGAGCATCTGAAAAACTCAGAAGGATTTTCTTCAAACACAACATCCTGGTATATTTCAAACCCAACAGGACCCTCAGACAGAGGCTGGTGATCTCAAAACCCAAACGGAGCGGTGTGATGTCTGCAGGTCGGTGCAGCGAAGAATGTTCAGACCTCTTCACTGGAGAAACTAAAACTCTCCACAGACGCAAGGCTCAACACCAGATAGCTAACTCTTCAGGACATGACTCAGTGGTCCACCTACATTTCAAGGACAAGGGACACTTTTGAGGACCAAAATGTTCATATTTTGGACAGAGAAGATTGATGGTTTGAGATGGGGGTGAAGGAAGCCATTTATGTCAAACAAGAAAAAAAACAACTTTAAAACAGAGGAGGTAGTCAGACTTCAGCTTTCAAAAACTTACGATGCAACATTAGGCCTGATTCCCAGCCAGGTAGGTCTGATACACACCTTCATGCAGGTGACCAAAACATCTCTCGTGAGCCAGGCAAACAGCCTAACGATCCTCCATTGTGCAGGGCGAGTAGTTAATCTAATCTGCATGTGAGGCTAGGCACACAACCAGGCCTCATGCAGTTCTATAAATGCTTGGAACTCCAGATATTTTAGAATTGATAACACCTCCTGGATGGAAAATAAGCATCTTCAGCTTCAGAATAGAAATACAGTTGTTTTTTTTAACCCTATTTTTTTAATTGGCCATGACCTGAACAACTGCGAATCTTCACTAGCACATTTTTCCAAGATATTCTTGAGCTACGTTGTTCAAAAAGACATGACCATATCCTGAAGGTGACTGAATCTTTTGTGTTTTTATCACTTATATTCATTCCCATAGGCTCACAGTAATTTTGCTATAAACGAACTGGACTTTGACAACATGGCAAACTACAAGCAATTCTTGCACAGAAAGATTACTTAGGTAGATGTTCTTTTTATACCCAATCCAGACACCCTGACCAGTCACCAATCAACATGCTGATTTTAGAATGTTTCAAAATAATAGTAAATGGACCTTAAACATGTTTCATTTCTCCTATTTACAAGATTTATTTAGACCTTTAGCCCATATTATTTTTACAAGTGAAAACACCTAAAAGTTATTTTCTTCATAGCAGTGTCAGGTTTAAAACTAAAGTTTAAAACTTTGCTACTTTTCTGGAAGTAGTGTTTGGTTTTCTCGTGTCTTTCCTCTGAATCTCATTGGTGGACCACGGTAGACCAGATTTATGGAAACGTTTGAGTCTCGTGCTGTAGTTAAATTAACCCAGAACACATTATTATTTTTTATTATTAAGGATCCTTCTGTTTGTGACCATGACTTTATTTGAAATGAAAATTAACCGGCAGAGTAAAAGACATATTCTGTTTTCAAAAGGTTGTGAAACAGTGCACATATGGTGAGCATCAGTATTACAAGCTGATTGGGTGGGGTCATCCTGTTTGTGTTCAGCAGCTTGTGGGTTTTCCACTGTGAGTCACTCATGGAAAATGCTTTGACTAAATCCTCCCTTTCACTGTGAGGCAGTCTATCACTATTTCTTCTCTTTGCAAATTAAAAGAGCATTTCAAAGTAGCTTAATGTTGCTTTTTGTTACAGTATTTGGGTTAAAGCTAGACTTTCAGCTCAGCATAAATAAAGACTTGTAATTTTGAATTTGCCTACGAGTCTGTAGAGTTCTATAAGATGATGGTAGATGTGAATACTAGGATGAAGAACATTATGAAGTCACATCCCATTGTATCACAAAGAAAACACAACAACAAATAAAAATAGTTTTTCTTTATTGTCTTTAAAGGTTTGACTGTCTGGCCAAGACGGTGCGATCAGAGGGGTATTTTGGATGCTACAGAGGTAAAGTTTGCATTTCTCATCCATGTAACTGACTAGACTGATGCTCTAAATGTGGCCTCTCTCCTGCTGCTCACCCCACCCTTGATTATTTTATTGTGGTAACCATTATCTGCTGTTATTTGTACTCAGCGCTGAGCACTAAGCTGTCTGCTCCGAGTGTTTATCTTACTGGAGACCGTTGAGTGTCACTGACATCCATTCGTCTGTCTTCTGCAGGTGCAGCAGTGAACCTCACACTAGTCACACCAGAAAAAGCAATCAAACTGGCAGCCAATGATGTCTTTAGACAAAAGCTCTCTAAAGATGGGTAATTTTCTTAAAGTTGTACATTTGGTGCAATAAATTCTTGAAAGGATCCTACTTTATTTACATTGCATTCACTTGCTCACTGTTGCCGATGCTACTCAGGCATTTGCCCCTGTGGGGTGAGGTCCTGGCTGGATGTGGGGCTGGGACTTGTCAGGTGGTGGTCACAACTCCCATGGAGATGCTTAAAATTCAGCTGCAAGACGCAGGAAGGCTTGGTGAGTTAAATACAAAAACTGACATTACCACTATGGTACAGTGTAAACATCATTAATCACATTGTACAGAGAAAACTGCCGGGTTCTGTTTTCTAACCTGACATGGATTTATGTTCACCGGTTAGCTTCACGGCGACCTATGCCTACTTCAGCTCAGGCTGCAGCCCCCGATCCTGCTGCATCATTTGTAGCCCAACCAACTCGTCCTCAGCGGCCCTCAGCTACTGGCATCACTGTGGAGCTTCTGAAGACTCGTGGCTTGGCTGGTCTCTACAAGGGGGCAGGAGCCACCTTAATGAGGTTTAACGCATACAAACTATTATGTATCTATACCAACTATATATAAAGACTATTATTACAAGTATGTAAGGCTGTGTTTAAAAACTAGCACCCATCTGTCATAATCAGTTATGGCAAGAGAAGTGAACAAAGCACATTCAACCAAATATAATTTTAGGTATACTAACATTTTGCTAACTTTTAGTTTCAAACAGCCCACAACAGTCGTTTTCCACAAAACTTTCAATGTGTGTAAGAACATTTAAATCTAAGAATCAAACTACTTGTGTCTTACCTTATGCACTAGTGTGCCATTTCTAGTTTTATGATGCAGTCTTTTAGCTACGTTGCTATGAACCATTGTCTGGGTTCACTCAGATTTCTTCCAATCAACTCGACTCATACTGAGCTGATTTCAGATTACATAACTCCAACAGCGTTTGTTGTGACAAATCTACCAATCGACACAGATCAATAAAGTCCTGCAGCTATGTCTGCTCGTTGCGCCGTTATTGAATGGGTTAACCTCTCATGACTTATCTTTATTTCACCTTAAATTATCCAACATTTGATTTTCTTCCCATTAACCCATTAGTTCCTTTTTTTAAATTTCCTTCTTTTTCCTTCACATGTAATCCTTATTCTGTTAAATGTATGCCTTTTTTAGGGATGTCCCTTTCTCAATGATCTACTTCCCTCTGTTTGCCAACCTTAACGCACTGGGCCGAGAGAGTACAGGCAGCCCTGCCGATGTGCAGGCCCAAGCACCATTCTGGCAGTCCTTCGTGGCTGGTTGCTCCGCTGGATCTGTGGCAGCTGTGGCTGTTACACCGCTGGATGGTAAGTCAGAGACAGAGATGCCTTAAAATAAAGCTGTACACCACTGTCTCTGCAAAACGGCAGTGAGAATTTAACGTGTAAATATATCAAGTTCCAAAAGTGCTACAGTCTAATAAACCATTCAACAATTAGTCGTCAGTAATGAACTAGATTTCAAAATAACTACATTAAAACAATAGTTCTGATCTTTTAAGATGGGTTTCAGCGACAGAGTTGTGAACAGTTAACATCTTACCTGTTGCAGATAGCTCTTTATATAACATAAATAAAAAAAGCAAAGTTGAATTCTGACCAGATTAATGAGTTAATGGCTAGTCCAAGTGGGCCAAGACCAAAGTGAATTGCTGCCGTCATAAAACAACTCCAATCTCAAAAGATTCACGCAAACCATATTTATAAACTTTTACACTGCCTTCAGTTTTGCACTACACAGTTACTCAAGCAGAAAATAACCCCAGGCTGCACTGGAAGGGCTAAAACTAGCTACTGCTGCTTGTGTCAGCACATTAAAACAATACAATGCAACTTTTGAAAAAGATAATAGCGGTCTTCTTCTAAAGCTCAACAGCTTTGCTCATAAGAAAAACAAATCTAAAACGGATCTGTTGAAACTTTGTGTAAAATGTAAATAAAATCAGAATGCAATGCTTCGTAGATCTCATACACTCATTTCATTCACAGTGGAACATAACATATAAAATATTTAAACAAAAAAAATTGTAATTATTATTTTTTTTAGGAAAAATTAGGATATAATTTTATGGCAGCAACACATCTCAAAAAAGAACAGTAGCAACTTCTTCCTTTTTTGGCTTGCAGGGGTCACTGGTGCCCTTATCCATCTATCACTGTGCAAGAGGTGGGGGACACCCTGGACAAGTCTCCAGTCCATCACAGGGACACATAGAGACAAACAACCATTCACTCTCTCACTCACACCTAGGGACAATTTAGAGTTACCAATCAGCCTAACATGTTTTTGGTCTGTGGGAGGAAACTGGAGTACCTGGAGAAAACCCACATATGCACGGAGAGAACATGCAAAGTCCACCCAGAAGGGCCTCCTGACTGGGAATTGATCCGGCGACCTTCTCGCTGATAGGCAACGGCTCTACCAACTGAACCACCGTGCTGCCACATAGTAGCAACAAAGTTTGTAGAAGTGGTACAAGCAAGAAACGGCTAGAAAAGCATTTTGAAACCAGTTAGGTTAAATGGCAAGAGTCAGGTAATTTTCGCATCTTCAAAAACAAACACATGACAAAACAGTTTAGACCTGGGGATGTTAGTAGGCAACACTACACATGAAATGGACAAGTGTTTTTTTTAAGGGGGGGAATACCTTGGGACATTACACCAAGTTATACATAATTATATACCAGTGGGCCAATGGTCTACTCATGTTTATATCCATTAGATGTAAACGGTGCTATCACTGTAAAATATGCTCTAAATGGCAAAGTTTCACGAGCTGAATATAGATGTCTAACGATGTCACCTTGTTTTAAATACACACACAGTAATCAAGACCCGTCTTCAGACGTTGCAGAAAGGTGAAGGGGAGGACACATACAGAGGGATTTTTGACTGCACAAGGTAAGGCTGTAGTCTAGAATTAAACATGAGCCTGCTCAACATTTTATAATAAATTATAATGCTTCTTTTTCTTTCATTAATTGTCTTCTGTGTGTCTTTTGTCTTCTTCAGGCGCATCATGAGGCGAGAGGGCCCGTCGGCCTTCCTGAAGGGCGCAACATGTCGTGCTTTAGTAATCGCTCCTCTTTTTGGTATTGCGCAGGTTGTTTACTTTCTTGGGGTAGGGGAGGCGGTTCTGGGTTTGTTAGGATAGCGGTGACTGGTGTTTGTGGCGGTTGTGTAGTTTCTGTAAAACTGCCATGCTGCACAGAATGAATGACACAATCAGGAGAGACGACAGAGAAACACAGCTACTCTCCACTAACCAATGGAAGATTATTAAGACATTCTGCTTACTAAGAAACAGACAAGTTCAAGCTATTAATTCACTCTCTAGGTTTTTACATGCTGTCTGCTGAGCTCTGTCCAGTAAAGAAGGTTCTGTGTGTGTAACTAATCTGAGTAAAGTATGTGTACAGAATCTCTGTTAGCTATGGAGCTGCTTTGTGCAATAGTATGTCTGAGCCCATTTATTTCACCTAAGGGGGGATTATTCTGTCTGGCTGCAATGAAAGAACTGTTGTATGCTATTTTTGAGGCTGCTAACTAAAATGCCTACCAACTCCATGGTTTGTGCATCATGTTTATGGAAGTAACACATTTCTCAGACAATATCCAAAACAACTTGATGCTAAGTACTTATCTTCCAAACCTAATCATTTAGGTTTTCTTGAGTGATGTCAACTTGCCAACCAACCATCAGCTTATTCTGTTATGCATTCCTCCCACTCCTTCCTGTAGGTCAGAGTTGTAATCTTTTGCTGGACTGGGAGGAGCTCTCTACCAATCTCTCTAAGGTCTTTTGTTAATCTGAAGGTAATTCTTTAATCCCTGTGATAGCATACGATACACCTTCAAACACGGCTCACTTCCTGCTCAAAGGCCACGGGTTGGACTGCTGAGCTACTATCACTTTGTTCTCCCCAAAGCTGTCAAAAGTGGAAGTCAGAATGGGAGATGGTTAATTTTCTTGCTTGGTTCCAGTATACTCAATGTTGCTTCCAGTGATGTGCACACAAGAACTGAAACAAATGCAATCAACGCCTTATTGTTGCTGATAGTTTGTAGAGCATCAAAACATCAAGTCTTAAATGAAATTATAACTGTTAGGTCCAAGGCGGAAGTAAGGCAGCTTGTTTTGCCAACTGGTATTACTTAAACGCACAGGGTGACACTAAAAGCTTTTTTTAAAAAACTTTTTACTACAAGACAGATTGCTGATGTGGCTATTGTCTTACTACATTTACCTCGTTGTAGAAAACGTAGCCTTAGTAAACCGTTTACAAAATGTAAATAAATATATCACAAACATGCTAAATTTTCTGTGTGATCATTTTTTTTAATTTTAGAATGATTCAAAGCAATATAAACACACATGCACATGTTATTTTGTTTTTTGGCTATAGTTTACAACAACAAAAAAACAGTAATGCAAAGACATCTTTGGTATGCAGCTTTTTCCATTTTAAGAGTTTAGAGCAAATATTTTCATTGCTGCTGCAGTATAAAGCAGTTTTCCATTAGGGAGGTCAGTAAGAAGACAGTTATTCAGACGTAAAAGAGCACTTGCTGAGTTTTTAATCAGTCCATCAGTTTATAACAATAAACAAAAACAGCCCTTTTAAAGGACTCTGAAAATTCTTATGTGGCTCTAGAGGCTCTCATCTTCTGTAACAGTGTCCGCAGTGTTCTGTTTAAACGTTAATCCTGGAACTTACGGTTAGGGTTGGCACCAAATAATGTCATTCTGATTTCAGGCATCATCTGTGAGAGAGGAGAAACAACACAAAACAGAAAAATCACTTTTTGTTTTGCCTTTTAATCCATCCATCCATTATCTTTACCCACTTCTTAAAATACATTGAAAGTGTACCAAGTTGTTGTCTAGAAATAATAATAATAATTTGCATGTTTCACTGAGGGCTTTGCAGCACTATTTTTATAAGCTGCTACATTTTTTGAGAACAAGAGTAGACGAGACAAACAACTAATATTTAGTCAAAAATACATACAGTATACACAATAACGTATGGATAGGTTTGAAGAAATAAAAAAGCTGCTTTTATTTATATACATTTTCAATTTATAGTAATTATTACCGGAATATGTGAATCAATAATAGAGCAGGGCTTTAAGAAAAACATATAAATTCAAATTATTCATTGATTTTTTTTTAATCAAAGATTCATTGACCCTCTAGATGTGGATAGATACATTTTAACCAAAGCTGTTTTTAATTCACACACTTAAAAAAATAAATATATATATATATATATATATATATATATATTTTTTTTTTTTTTAATGCACCTGGCAGCATCTGCAGTCATGTTCAAGAGGCAGGGAATACTTTCACAGAACAAAAATCTTATCACTTCAAAACAACAATAACAACTGAGATTTATCACTTTTCTTACATGAAAATGAGAATCAGAATTCATCAGTTGCATTAACTTATGGTTTAAAAAAAAATCACGATTTTTACATAAAATAAATGAGTCTGACTTAAACATTACATGATTTTTGTACTCAGTTCTTCAAAACTAAAGCCAGTTAAGCTCAAAATAAAATAATCAAGCTGTGCTGCCCCCTACAGATGACTGCCAAAAGCTGCATTTAACAGTCAAACTGCATCCTCTGCACATTTTTGTACCTGCTGTGCCATAAGTTCAAGCCTGCTCTCCAAAGTGTTGGAAACCTTGATCTTTCCATTATCGTTATACATTTCAATTCCTCCACAGCTGTGAAAACAAAGAAAACAAAGACGACATGAAACTCAAATCAACTCTTTATAATCTCAGTCAAAAGGAACCAAAAAAAAAAAAATCCATCAATTTAAAATGAAAGGCTAAAACTTTGAATTACTGTACATTAGCCAGTCATACATGTTAGATGGAAGAAAACGATCCGGGTCAATTTTGACAGTTATTTTGATCTTCACTGCCTCTTGGTAGATGGGAATGTTCTTATTAACTGCAGCCTGGCAGGTCATAAAGCAGAAAGCATCAATATACGTCATGCACAGAAAAGTCTGCAAAAAAAACAAAAGGTCAACTCAGTCTTACCTGAACCATTTCTACATCTTGCTGTCGGCAGCGGATGGTTACTTGAGACTCAAGCAGTTTGTAAAATCCCTAAAAGGTTAATAAACAAATCAAACTACGAAAACAAAAAGAACTGACAAACTGGGGGATTTACAATACCTGAAGCACCAGGCCCTCCATCAGTTTGGAGTACCTATTAGGATCCTTGGCGATCTCCGAAAGTCTTTGACAAGCCTCATTTAGCAGATCCTTAACCATAAACCCAAACAGAAGGAGAAAGTCTGACATCTAAGTTGAATATGATCAACACCACATGATGAGTGAGCACTTATCTCTGGTAAAAGCAATAAATTGCTATAAGCATAGGCACACGTGCCTTCTTCTGACATTTTTAAACAAGATGAGAAAACATCCTTGTTTTAAAAAGCCATACGACAGTCATGGTGACGCATTTCCGTGTCAAAGTAAACAAATACTATGTAAATCTGTGTAAGACATGAGCGCTGAGCTCTCACCATGACCATGTCGTCTCGAGCCTTCAGCACCTTCAGCCTCCCTTGGTTCTTCAGGTTAGACATCTGGCTGAGAAGAGAAGGTTATTACTTTATTTTTTTTCCCCCATTCAAACTTTATTCATACAGGTTAATCCCACTGAGCCTCAGGGACTAATTTACATGACAGACCTGTTTTTTTTTAAACAAAGAGTGATGACAACAAAAGACAATCATAAAGGATGTGTACAAACTGAGAATAACAAGTGAAAATAAAATGGTATTTAAAAGATGTAAATACAAAAAAACCTCTTATGAGCTTTATATACAGCAGACAAGCTTACGGTTTGTGTTTAACTCTAGTTCTCTTTGCTTGTATGACAGAGGGCTACATTCATAATGCTAATTTTTATTTAGAAGTCTCCAGAGGCCCTAAAACATATATGTCACACTCAAGGCCCGGGAGCCAAATGTGGCCCTCGTTGACATCTTATCTGGCCCCCAAGATGTTATTTTAAATGTAAAATACTTTTATCACGTTCATTTTTTTTCAGTAATCTTTGATTATGAGGTCAAAAGTGAAGCAGAGAACGTCAAATGAGACCAATCAAACTCTTGTTGAGGAACCTGCAACTAAGAAAAGATGCTGGGTATCTAACTTGAGTTAATGTAGATTCTGAAACAGGCCCTTACTTTGAAAACGGCTTTAATTTTGGCCCCCTTTTGTAAGTGAGTTTGACACCCCCCTAAAACAATTGTTCAGTGCTGTGACTTCCAAGAAGTATGGAAATAATAATAAAACATGCCTGCATCTTTTGCAATCCCAATGTTGTCAAAAAAAAAAAAAAAAAGTAGACTCAAAGTGATTTCTATATAACAAAAAAAAAATCAACTCACATTTTCTTATGCTGCTCTATCTGCTTTTCTTTCTTCTCGAAATAATCCATGATTTTCACTCTCTGAGTCTGCACCAGACGACCTTTCTCAATGTTGAATTCTTCCTCTGCCTGTAAACAAATATATTGGTTCATTTCCAGTCACAATATTCACAAGACGGACGGGCAGGCCTCAGTTACCTTTGCATCGATTTCCTCAACTTTCTCATTGGCTTCTTGCTCAATGAAGGCCATCATGTGCTTGATCTGTCAGAAGAGTCCAAATCATTTGTTTGGGTTTAAATGTCAGGAAAAATGCATGTTTTTTTTTTTTAATTGGCCGACTTTATTAATAAAACTGAGCAACTCAAGGTTGATAAAACATCTAACAGACTTCAGTTTGAATTGTCTCAAACAAGTAGAAAATAAACAACTAAAACGTTGCCTGGGTCGATTTGGTTCCGTTAGCTTTTTTTGGTTGTTTTGTTTACATTTCACTAACGTAATTAAACACAGCTGTTACAACTTTAACCACTTTACCTGCTTTTGAACGTCAGCGTCAGTGAGTGCCATGTCTATTATTTTTTAAGTTTTAGTACTTTAAACTCGTCAATAAATCCTCTGAGCAGCTTCAACTTTGTCACGAAAGAGTATCCGTCAAGAAGAGGATCCACTTTTTTTCTCTCCAAGTTTCTAGTCGAGGTTGTTACAAAAGACTTCCGGTAAATATTTTCAAAATAAAAGAAATGTATTATATTTGGCAGTAAGTCAGATTTATGTCATTTATTACATGTGGTGGAACGAGATTATATACACAGGATTCACGCAGTAAATGAAAAACAGCAATAGGATCTAAGATATGAACTAAGAAAAACATAAACTAAATGTACACTAAACACTAATCGCGTAAAAACATACGCCGAACAGCAGCACGAACATGAGTCTGTGTGAGCAGATGAGCATGCATGAACACAGCAGCATGAAACAGATCAGCAGCAACATGATGTGATTTTTCACAGTGATTCTGGTTAGATATTCATGACCGGGGTGTAAAACACACCTACAAAAGGGGGCCAAAATTAAAACCGTTTTCAAAGTAAGGGCCGGTTTCAGAATCTACATTAACTCAAGTAAGACACCCAACATCTTTTCTTGGTTGCAGGTTCCTCAACAAGAGTTTGACTGGTCTCATTTGACATTCTCTGCTGTACTTTTGACATCATAATCAAATAGTACTGAAAAAAATTAAAGTTATAAAAGCATTTTACATTTAAAATAACATCTTGGGGGCCAGATAAGATGTCACTGAGGGCCACATTTGGCCCCCGGGCCTTGAGTTTGACAGATTCAGGGTAGAAACTGTTCCTCAGTCTAGTGCTTCTACACTAAATGCTCCTTAGCCTCCTTCCTGAGGGGAGCGGGGCAAAAAGTATGTGTGCTGGGTGAGTGGGGTAAATGGACTGTACTTATATAGCGCATTTCTATAATAATAATAATAATAATAATATATTTTATTTGTATAGCACTTTTCTAAATACTCAAAGACACTTCTGATCTATCTGATCAAGATACTCAAAGCGCTTTACAGCACAATCTGTGTCCTCATTTACCCATTCATACAGCATTCTACTATATCTCTACAAAGCTAATTGAACAAATCATTCTAACGAGACTAATCAGTGCTTTTTCACATTCATACACCAGTGGGACACACATTGGAGGCAATGAGGGGTTCAGTGTCTTGCCCAGGGACACGTTGGCATGTGACAGCTTTTTCATTCAACCTTTATTTAAACAGATAAATCACATTGAGCCTCAAAGACACATTTACAAGTGAGACCTGTTTGGACAGACAAAAACAGTGGTTAACTGGACGCATGTAGGAGTTGGAGGCGAAAAAAATTCTATCAGACTTTTTTTTTCCTGCCTGTGAAAAAAACCCTCTAATATTAAAAACACCTCGCACAAACAAGCACAAATTGATGTAGACATTCTGCAGAGGCGGGGAGGCAAGAGCGGTCAGCATGTTCATAGATGCTCTAAAGGGCAATGTAAGAGTTCTGATAAGGATGGAAAAATCTGTCAATGTCCTCCGATGAGATCCATAAACATTCTCGAGGTATGTCGAGGAATGGCCAAGAATAACGTCTATGAGAATCCAAGAGTCCTGAAAGGATGACACTATTTTATTCAGCTGGTTCCATCTGGTTATCAGTTGGAAATTCCTCAGGGAGGGAGTGGTGAACGTCAGATCACATGTTCTCCAGGCGAATTCAGATAAGATGACCTTCAAGGCCACCCAGGGGAGCCAAATTCAGATAAACACACAGTTGTTTTGGGGACAGGCAGAACTTAGTGACATCTACCTTGAGTCTGTGTTGGTCGACTCGGTTCCGAAATGTCCAAATTACATGGCCACACCGATGGAACGTGACTGAGTAAAATCCCCAAGATCTGATCCATTCAAACCAAAGCATTTGAGTCCGGGTACTCGAGGCACGAACCAAGCCATCATAAAGGCGAGCAGCATGAATGGTCCAAATTTGCTGCCGACGACTTCTTTGATTGTAGATAAAACCAGCAGTCGAATCCAAAAAGCAGGAACCAGTTATCGAAAATCCAATTAAATATGCGTCCTTAAAATCCACAAATGGCAGCAGAGATAGACACATCATCAAGTCTTCAAGTCGATGAGATATCCAGCTGCATGAGTGCCAACAGGGCAAATCGGCTTGCCTAAAGCCTGTCTTCTCTTCGAAGAAATGTTGTAAATTGAGTTGAGGGACCAACTGATCAAAACAAGTCCATAATTATGGTTCGGAAGAAATGCAAGAGAGGCTCACAAGCAGTTTCACCGACAGAGAGACAGAGCAGCCAAGCAAGGCGGAGAGGGAGGGGAGAAGCAGCCGAACTCGACAAGAGCAAGTGGTGAAGCTGGTGGTGGATTTGAACCCCCAACTCTTGCATTGGAGGACGACTGCTCTAACTACTCAGCCACAGCCGCCCATTTAGAGGTGTGTGATGGTGGGGAGGCTGACTCCAACAGACTTCTGAGCAGCCTTCACCACTCTCTGCAAAGCTTTTCTTTCTGCTTTTCTTATATTTATATAAGAATTTATATTTTAAAGCATTTATAATTTTTACATGTATATTAATATTTAGCCCTTAGTGTAATAACAGACAACAAAAAAGTCGAGAATCCTTTTGAAGGCATCTTCTCAAATGTGTTAATCTTATGACAGCACTTCCTAGTTAACTGAACTCGTGCTCCAACTGTTGCTAGGATACGCGAAATTTGCGCAGTTGGTTTCCAGTCGGCTGGTGAGGGTGTTATTTTGAAAGGGTGTCACAGGAACTCCGGTGTTGTGTTTTCACGCGTTTCAGCTGAAGTTCGGAGCACGTTGTGCGAGTTGTGCGCTGCTGCTGCCAGCCAGAGGTGGTCTGCTCAGTTTTTTCAGCTACTGTTACAGACAGTTGTGTCGCATACTTCCCTTCTGCTTGTCGTTTGACGGTAAGTAACGGACTCACGTGAGCTCACGTGAAGTTAAAATGAAGTTTCCTGAAACGTGCTGTGTTAAGCTAGCTAACCTATCCTGCGTGTAGGCTACAGGTTATGATGGATTTTGTGTACAAAAAATGTTTTATCCGAACAGACGCCCGTTTAGTCCAATGATCTAAGCTGCTGTGGATAATTCAGAACAGGCGACACCACAGAGACTGAAAGTTTCATGGTTGCTTGACTCGGTCAAGTGGTTTTACTTTGACAGTTTCACCCGGATGTGTTTTATTAACTTGGCAGACTTGACAATAATGGAAGTTTTTAGTTCACATGATCGTGTCACCTCATTTTAGATGTTCACTGATGACTCTTAGACGTGATAGAAGACTCAAAAACACGTGATGATTACATTTGTTTAATAAAATGTACACACGTGCCTTTTGATACATGGCAAGGCATGTCTCCTTGAACAGAGGGCACAATGTGTAACTAAACACCACATTAGTTTTATATATCTGTCACAGCTGGTTTACCTGTTTAACAGCAGATAGTGTCATGAGAAATCACCCTCTAAAATGTAGGTTTCTGAAAACTTTTGCTTTTTGGTACTTTTGATCAAACAGAAACTTTTAAGGATTGTCATAGTAAAAGCTTCTTTTCTGTCTTTTTTTTTCTTTGTACAGGTGAGACGTCCAGCTTTAACTCTTAAGACTTAATGTACCTGATTGTATAATCAATGGCGACCTCGGACCCCATCTCTTGGCCCCACCTGAGTGTGTCTGCAGGTTTTCACTTTGAAACCAAATACATTCTGCTAAAGTACCTGGGACTGCTGCCTGTTAGATCACAGACGCCTCCAACAGATCAAGGTTAGAGGAGTGATTTGGTTATTACATTCACAGAGTACTCTAAAAGACTGTTGGGCTTGTGCACATGTGGCTGTAACCCAAAGTATTTTGAGTGTGTAGGCATGTAGCCACCTGTTTTCAGCTCAACTTGACTCTCACTTTGGCATGAAAGTGCATTCAGATGACTTTAATTTAGCCAAGTGCTTATAAACATGTGAATATATGAGACATTGGACAACTATAATCTTTTTAATATTCCAATATGGCTTCCAGACCAATCTCTCTCTCTCTTTCTCCAGTCTTTTATTGAAACCCTATGCACGACTTTTGGCTTTAAAGATTTATTTTATCCATCCTGTCCACTTTGTGCGTGGCATTCTAAAGACCAAGATCACTGAGTTTGTTGACCACATGTCTACACAACGTGGCTCATTTTTAGTTCATCCTGCAAAACATAACTCGTGCAAATTATTGTGCCTTTGTACAAGAATGTTAAAGTAGCTCTTTTACTGTGAGAGAAACATCGCTCTTGTTTTAAAAAAAACAACAACAAATAATTTATGCTCATCTTTCAGAAAAAGGTGTTTTGAGCAAATAAGCAGTGGGAGAGTTGTGTGACATTTTTGTACATGCGCATGTTTGAAATGAGTAAAGAGGGACAGATGATCATCTAATCCTTGCTTTCCGCTCGACCCGGTCCAATTTCTGACAGCCTGTCATGTGCAATCACTAGGATTACTTGCACATCAATAGACTGAATGAAAAAAAAGTTGTCTGCCTAGCTGTCTGGCTGCATGCTGACACAGCAAAACTCCTTGGAAAAACCAGCTCTGGTCCTCGGGGAGTTCTTCCACTATAGCTGAAGGGTCAGCGAACACAGAAAAAGAAAATGTGGAGTGTGGATAAAAAGTAGTATGTGACTAGGAGTCATGAAAATGTAAAAATCTTCAATATTCTGCCGCTAAATCACTAAGAAGAATATTTTTCGTTGACTGTAGCACAACCAGAAGTCATCAGCCCAGTAAAGTGGAAATAATGAATGCCTCTGATGTTCAGCAGTGTATTCATTTTACTTTTCACGTGAATGCTTTTGATCTTTCCAGAATGTTGGGTGTGATTTTAAAAATTTTTTTTTTTTATCCTGGATACGTGCTGGTCCATTTTTTGTGTAATTTTTTTTTCCATTCCCAGCAATGTAGACCTAGTTTAGTAAATAATTTGCTTCCTCACAGGCCGTGCAGCGGTGCCTTAAATCCACTCAATGACAAGGTTATTATCAGTTTCTTGTTTGTGCTAATAAATATAACGCAATAAAAGGTTTTCAGTCTGTGAACATACATGTTAATTGCACCAAACTTGAAAAGCAACTCTTCCCTGCAGAAAACCTGGCATTTCTTCATGCTTCCACAATTGTTTGGGAGTTTTTAGTGTTTTATAAAGGTGCAGGCACCACAGAGTTTCCTTTAAGCTGGAGTCTACTGATGTTTAATTTTACCCTTTAGATCCTTAATATTTCACGTGCACACAAGTCTAGTTTGATGTTTATTTATTAGACCATATAATGTTACTTTTATTTTATGTTATCAGTCTTTTTTTAAATTAATATTATTTTATGAAACTATGAAAAAAAGTCATTTGCGTACTTTAAAACAAGATAGCGTCACAGTATAATGTTAAAGTGAATAAAAGCCATAAGAAAAAGTAGAATAAAGACGATTAAATGAAGATAACGTCAAGAAAATTTTAATGTGAGGTCTGTATTTTTAGTGTCTGATTTTTGAAGTGGTTGTGTGTGTGTTTGTGTGTGTGTTAGGGGATTTTGTTTCATAGTTAATGCATTTATCTCCGAGGTGATGCCCAGACTGAGGAGGAGAGGACCAGAAGGATAGAAGAGGAGCTGAGGCAGCTGGAGGAGGAATGTTCTGCCTGTAAGTTGTCACAAGCGCACACCAACACCTCCTGTTCCTGTCGTCTCAGCTCAGGCCTCGAGTCATTTGCTTCAACTTACAGCAGGAAAGTCGAGTTTAAATTTTACAACAACTTTGCTTTATGTAGACATTTGCAGGTGGATTTAAAATATATATATATATATATATATATGACACATGACAACATGGTACTCTAGAAATGACTTTAGATATCAAAGCTTTTTTTCATTTTTCTTCAGCAGTTAATTTTTTTTTCTGTACACAAACATGTATACTGTGACCAATAGCTGTAGACTGATGGTATGGTGAATGTCTAATATTTTCTTTGACTTGCTACATTCTTAGCTCAGAGAGGGTGCCCCCAATATGAAACTCACTTTTGTGTTACTTTTGAATTCTGAACAATTCTATCAACACTTATATTTTCCCACACCCCAGTCGTCTCTTCGTACCAGATGAGCTTCACTGCATTCTGTCCTGTGGTTTGTTCTGGTTTCAGTGTTTCCCAGCAGAGGATCTGACATCAACCCGTTTCCAGTGTTCAGTCTAGCCAACGCAGAGCACTCAGTAGAAGACCGCCTTGCTACAATTGGAGACAAAGTGACCCAAGAGCTTGGTACACACCTTGCAGCAGCTGTCCAAACGCTCCTTTCAGGGTGAGTTTGTAGAGCCGTGCTTATGTTTGCAAAAGTGTTTCACATTATCAGGCTGTGCTGGAGCAGACAATATATAATAGACTTCACCGTTGTGGAGCTTAATTAGCATCTTTTAAAGGGTAACATTTATTACGGCTTTCCTGAATATCCTGAAAATTCTTCAACCGTAACAAATAGTCCACATGGAAATAGTTTTCTTAATATTTTCTCACTTTATTTGCAGAACATGCTAATTTAATAATCAATGTAATGACAAAGTCAATACTGATGTACTGCTGCAGTGAAATCTTGATTTATTTAATTATTTTGTAGTTATGCAGTCAGAAGAGAATAAAAGCTTTGCTGCATAGTAAATTTAAAAGTTGGGTAGGGAATTTTGATCATTTTACGATTCAAAGCAGCATAAACATGTGTTTCTAGCAATAATAAACGATTTAAAACCAAATTTACTTGATATTTAATCAGTCCAGGCCTTCCTTATCAACACATTGATTCATTACATTTTATGTTCATCATTCTAACATAAACAATGACCAAAAATAAAAAAAACAACAGAGTTGTACATTGAAGTCTAAATGTTGGCCTTTCCAGTGAATGCTAACCTTTAAGTGGGTATTCACAAATTGCTACTGTTTTAATTTTACTAGTTCATCATGGTAACATGCATGGAATGAATGAACTGCTATTTGAACAGTTCATGTTCAGTTTCCCTTTCAGTCGACTAAATGTATTTCAGACAAAACTGAAAATGTATATGTGGTCAAGAGTCATAAACAAATTTAAAGTGCTTTAAAAGAGGTGCTTTTAAAGAGATGTTTAGAGCTAAATCAAATCACAAAAGCTTGTAAAATAATTTATGATGTAATTTAATCTATTAAATAATTCAATCAAAATGGATTTTAATCTTTACCATAAATTCAAATAAAATTGACCTGTGTTTGATTTATAATGACCAGTTTTCATGATTCTCAGCTCAAAGTGTTCAAATGTTGCAACTTGTTTTCATATATTTTGCAAGGCAGCAGGCTTCTCTTGTGAATGTGTGTCAAGCTGATTATTGGTATAAATGTGTAAAACACCACTTTTTATGTGAACTTGAAACTCTTGGTCAGGACTATTCAACTAAACTGCTCAGGGGGCCACAGTTTAAGCCAACAGCAGCTCAGGGGCCAGACATCCAGCAATTAGTCATTTTGTAAACAAACCATGTATTACAATGATCTGTTACTTTTTAATTTTTATTTTTTTTGCATTGAATCATAAATGCAATAAACAGAACCCAAACCAAACCCAAAACCCAGACCCCCCACCCCCCAAAAAAATAAGTTGATGGGCCAGATTGAAGTGACTCGTGGACTGGAAGTAGCCCGTGGGCCACCAGTTGAATAGCCCTGCTCTAGGTTAACAGTAATTGTCTTTTATGTAACTGTCATCTGCAACAGCTTTTACTCAAGCCAGCTAACCCAAAACCCAGTTTATGTTGAGCTCGCTTCATTTATCAGAGTATCGTTTTAGACGTAATGGAAATTATTTTAAATACAGATTGCATATGGTGAATAAGTTAATACGATATTATAAATGTTTACAAAAGGACCAATGTCTGTGTGTTTCAGACCTCTGGACTACCAGAGATTTAGAAGCACAACACTAGAGCTCTCAGTACAAACACAGGAAGGCAAGGTGAGGTGGTCATGGTTTGTAATCATCTGCCCTCATTAAAAAAACTCAGGATGTGCAAAAGAAATTTAAACATTTCTATAAGTGTCTATCAGTTTGACATCATTGCCTTTTTTTATCTCACCCCTACCAGGTGTTGGTGCCTCTGGTGCTGCTGCAGGCTTTACAAAGTGAGGGACAACCATTGACAACACTTTTGCAACTGGGACTGCACTATCTGGAGGAGGATGAGGGTAATTACATCATCCAGCAAGGAGGATGGGTGAGTTTTTACAGTTTGACAGAGAAAATGCAACGCTCGTATTTTATTTATCATCCGGTAATACAAAATGAGGAAGGATTAGTTACTGCATGTTTCCTGGAAACCCACGAGTGGCTATAAAAAGCTCATCTAAAAGACAGCAGGGAGCTACTGCTCATGGCAGCAGATGAACAGATTTCGAGCAAAAGTGTAAAATAAACTAGATAAATTGCATTTCCTACAAAAATGCAGTGTGAATGCTTATTTCAGAATAACTTGCTGAAAAACAGCTGAAATTAGCTAAAAAAAAACCTACTGAAACGTAGCTGAAATGAAAGAACAAGCCTAAGTTAGCAGAAGTAAGCAGAAAGAACACATATTTGTTGATTTAGGTTTAAATAAGCAGAAATGAGCACAAAAATTAGAAAATTGGACAAAAAAGCTGAATTTAGCAAAAAAAAAAAAAAAAAAAAAAAAAAGCTGAAAAGTAGCTTAAAAGGCAGAAAGAAGCTTAAGCTACCGGAAGGAAGAGGAAAGAGATTAAATGAGCTAAAATGTGGAATTAGCTGAAAAAGCTAAAATTAGCATAAAACAACTAAATAGTAGCTGAAATAGCAGAAAAAAAACTAAGTAGCAGAAAAAAGCTGAAAGGAGCATAACAAGCTGTAATTAGCTGAAAGAATTTAATTAGGTTGAAAGTAGCAGAAATTATCATGAAAATCTTGAATTTATCTGAAAACAGCTGAAACTAGCTAAAAAATGCTTAGGGTAGCTGAAAAGGTAGAACAAGCAGTAGAAAGCAGAAAGAACATGTTTGCCCAATTAGGCTGAAAGAAGCAGAAATGAGCACAAAGAAGTGGAAATTATGTGATAAAAGGTGAAATGAGCAAAAAACAGCAGAAAATTAGCTAAAAAAGCTTAAATTATCAGAAAGAAGTGGGGAGAGCACAATTTTGCTGAATTAGGCTGAACATTTTGGTGAGTGCAAAAATTGGAATTTGCTGAAAAAGGTAAAATTAGCATAAAAACAGCTAAATTGTTGCTGAAATAGCAGAAAAAGCTGAAACTAGCAGGAAAAAAACTGAAAGGAGCGTAACAAGCTGAAATTAGCTGAAAGAAGTTGGAAGAAGCACAAACATGTTGTAGTTATCAGAAAGAATTTAAAAGGAGCACAAAACAGTTTAAAACAGCTGAAATTAGCTGAAAATAGCTGGAAAAAAAGTTTACATTTGCACAAGAAAGCTGAAAGAAGCTGAACCAGAACAAAATGTGAAAGGAACAGTAAAAGGTTCTAAAACAGATCTAAAGATATGAAGGATGTAAAATGAACTCAATTCATTTTCTATGAAACAAATGGCAGAAAAGGCTAAATATTTTAAAAAGCTAAAGTTGCACCAATACCAATACCCTTCTCGTAAATGAGCTGAGCGTTTTGATATATTTGTTGAAATGGCACAACAATTGTGGGACGAGAAAGATGCTGAAAAATGGATGTGAATGCTTCATGAGCGTTCACACGATCAGACTGTTCAGTCCAGAACTGCAAAGTGGAACTTTCAAGTGTCTGGGATCATGTTCTGAGTCAAATCTGAGTAGGAATTCCTAAAGTCAACAAAGTGAAATAGCTCCAAAGGCGATTGAAAACTTGTAGATTCTGTCAGACTTTTAATGTCCTGACTGAAAAACTGGTGGTGGCAAACACACGTGCACATTTCTAAAATGTACAGATGAGGGCACCAGAGAGTTACAACAGTCATGACATAATATGAAATTACAATTACTAAATTGATAATCTACATAAAATCAGATTGTTGTTTCAACACCTTGCCTTTCCTTTCCAGATGTTTTAGTGTATTTCTAACAGCAATAAGGACTACTTTAATGTTTTATTCAACAGGATAAAGAACTGTTTGTAAAACTGAAGTTCTGTATCAGAGTCAGAGATTCTTTATTGTCATTCGCACCTCATGTGGTACATGTGGTGGAGCAAAATTATGTACACAGGGTCCCAGTTACATCCAACAATAAAATGTAAAAGAAAAACAGTGATAACATCTAAGATATGAACTAAGAAAAACATCTACTAAATATACACTGAGCACTCATAACATAAAAACATTGAACATCAGCACAAACATGAACATGAGTCTGTGTGAGCGGATGTGCACGCATGAACACATCAACATTGAAACAGATCAGAAACAACGTGAAACAGATCAGCAGCAACATGAAACAGATCAGCAGCAACATTGAAACAGATCAGCAGCAACATGAAACAGATCAGCAGCAACATGAAACAGATCAGCAGCAACATGAAACAGATCAGCAGCAATGTGATGTGATTTTTCACATTGATTATTCTGGTTAGAGATTCATGAGTCTAAACAGCCTCAGGGTAGAAGCTGTTCCTCAGTCTAGTGCTTCTACACTTAATGCTCCTCAACCTCCTTCCTGAGGGGAGTGGGGCAAAAAGTGTGTGTGCTGGGTGAGTGAGGTCCTTCATGATGCAGGTGGACCTCTTCCTGCATCTAGAGGTGTAGATGTCTGTGATGGTGGGGAGGCTGACTCCAACATCTTCTGTGCAGCCTTCACCACTCTCTGCAAAGCTTTTCTTTCTGCAGCTGTGCAGCCTCCATGCCACACATTGATGCTCGAGCACAGGATGCTCTCCACTGCACACCTGTAGAAGGAGGTGAGGACTGAGCTTCCCAGACCAGCTCGCCTCAGCCGCCTGAGGAAGTAGAGTCTCTGATGAGCTTTCTTGATCAGGCTGGTGGTGTTATTGCTCCAGCTGAGGTTGTCATTCAGGTGTACACCCAATGTATCAATTTATCAATGTATTACTGTGGCTAATAGTTCTAAACTATTTAAAGTAGTAAAAAAAAAAAAACTAGAAAAGGCCTTTACTTCTGTAACTAAATAGTATTTAATAGTTTCTCAATAGTGCTGTAATTTTGTTATAATTATTATGTTTTAAAAAATCGACAGTGTCTTGTATACAATCAAGATTTTTCAGAAAATGAAACGGTTAACTTTCATATTGAAAGATGACATTAGTATTTAAATATTGTACAACATGACCTTTGCTTATTGACTGCTGGAGCTGAACAGACAAAAAATCGAGGAATATATAAAGTAGTGATGGGATGAGTATATTGTCCGTCTTGGCCATATTATTTATAAAGTTCCATGTATTGTATTGACGTATATGATGACAGTGATGCACAACACATGCAGTTGTAACCTTTAGAGTATTTTGGAACATTTTAATTTCACATTGATGTACTTAGTAGAGCGCTGCCTGTGGTTGCTTCCTCTAAGTGAGGTCATACTGATGAGTAGTCACATGACTTGACATGTTACCGGTAATCGTTGCTGTTGTCGCCATTACCTCGCAATATTCTGCCTGATCTTGTGCAACGTTGTGTGAGCACAGACAAAGCCACATTCATGCTCAGCGTTATGTCACAGAAGATGAACAGAAAAGGAGGGATGGAGGGATACAGAGAAAAGAGGAGGGAAGTAAAGTCCATGAGGAGGCTGTGATAGGCAGGAAGGAGAAACAATCAGGGGAGGGGTGAGAGATCAGAGCGTTAAAGGATGTGCACCGCAGCCAGTAAGAGCAAAGTTACACCATTCTTACTTTGACAGCTGCCTGCATGCACACTTTCCACAAACGGGCTTTCTACCTCCACGCCATCTCGACTTGCTTGTCTGCTTGACTTTTTTTGAGCTTTGTGCATTCACGTGCAAACCAGGGCTTTCAAGGCTTCACACTGAGGTAGGATGTTTTCCTTTGGAGCAGCACAAACGAGGAACTTATTAGTGTTGACGCGATAAATTCTTAGATGATGAACAGATTATTATCTGGCAACATGGCGACCTCTTACTACTGAGCTGCAGTGGCACAGAAATGCCCCTCATGAATGTCGTAGTTTTTCACAACAGCGTTCAAACTGAGAAATACAACATCCCCATACAAATTGCTTTATAAAGAAAAAAAGCTTTTAAAATGTATTTATTAAAGTTTTGGCATAAATTGGGGGTTGTTTTTCCATGATACTGTTACAAAATAGATCCTTGTTCCATCCGTGTTTTCAGGATGTTAATGTGACGAAGATACAAACGACAAGTCGAGTTGGACGACTCCCTTTTCGTGCAACTTTTTCAGCTGCAGCAAAGAGTAAGGATTATTATGACCCTAATGTAACGTACACTCCGTTTGGCAGGAACAAAGCCACTTGCCCTCCGACAGTTTGCAGCCTGGGGCGGACAGGAGTGCAAGATTAATGAAGGATGACAGGGCAAACGAGGAGAATTAAAACCTCCGTGGTGAACGAGGTCATTGGCCTGTCATTCTACAGAATCAGACAGCTGTCCTTTTGACAGTGAAAACTGCTGAACTGGGTGTTCACTGCAGCTTTTTTAAATCTTGCTGCTCTTGTGAGTTTGAAGCAACGCAAGTCCTGAATTCTGAAAGTCAGAATTCCTTCTCCCTTTATGGTAAAGAGATAAAAACAAACACTTCATTGCATAGCTCCAGACTTAATAGTACATAGATAGTCAAAGTATTATATCTTAAAAGGCAATAAAACATTTTCTGTACTCCTTTTGTTTCACGTTGCAAAGCTTATATGGCTGGAATGCTTCGCTGATGTATTTTAAGAAAAAGGTGGTGTGCAGGCTCCAGTCCAGGCCCTGGAAGGGCATGTCAGATCCTGTACTGTGAAACAGCACTCCCTGAGTTACATAAGCGTCCACTCACCAGCTCCTGGGTGATGCATCACTGTGCCCCTGAAACAGCACAGAGGAGGGGCTGTGCTAAATGCGAATTAAATTAATTACTTCTAATAAAACTTTTAAAAGAGCCTTCTCACCAGGGACCTGTCGGAGCTATATGTTGAAATAATGTCAGGGCTTTTGAAAGATGTGGGCAGTTGATATTTTGTTAAAACAGACGTAGCAGAGGATGTAACATGCTAATTTAACAAGAACTTTGGAAGTACTGGTGTGTTCTCCCA